AGCAGTAAGAAGATTTATTCCTTTAAGTTATTGCATAACATCGTATATGTTTTTGAGTTTACCTGTTTGGTAAACCAATTCATTTTGTCAGTTGGACATATTAAAATTAAAAACAATATGCACCTCATTTTCTTTTAAAATAAACTTCTCGTATTAATGTACATATTTCATATTTCTCAGGTTTATGACATAGAATATAACGTATCAGAAAGATACTGCGGTGAATTTGAAGAACTTCCGATGAAGAAGGTCTACCAAGGAAATTCTGTTAGAGTCCGTTTTGTTTCAGATGTCTCAGTTGAAAATAAAGGCTTCCTTGCCAACTGGAATTATGTGTCTGATGATCAGCCCTTCTACGAGGCATCTGAATGGTCTGAGGTGTGTATATTCAGTGTTCCAGCTATTGTCACTTATCAGGGGTTAACCTTTTTACTCCCAGTTCCCTCTTTTCATCACAACTGCACAAAATAGTCCTGTTTATAGTCTGCACTTTCTTTTAGAAGATTGGCACAAAAAATTGCCAATTTTTTTAGCAAAAACTGAAAATTTACCCAAATTTCGACTGTTAGCTCCAAAATTAGGGTTCATTTTCAGTAATATAGAAGAATATAAAAAAAGTGCAGAACAAATTGGGCAAGAAAGGTGGAAAGTGAGCTTCTTTGGGTCTTTTTGACAACTATATGATATACATGTATTTGATAGTCTTAATCATGGGAAGTGTGTTCAGTTTTCAAACTTCAATGATTTTCAACACCTTCCAATGCTGATAATTTTTTTAATTCAGGCTGAATTCTGGTGAATCCCAATTAGTTTTGCATAATGCGTGCAAAAATTCAGATCAGCCAGTCCCCTATGAATGTTCCCAGAGTGGAACTTCAAGGTGTATTTTGTGTACAAGCTTATTATACCTTGTACTGTTGTATGTATGAAGACTCACTGACATGTGAATGTTTACATGACATTATCATGTTGAGAACTAGGAATAGCCAGGTATGAATTAAAAGATGAGCTTAAATGCAATGGGTAAAAAATCAGATTATAAGGTGACAGAATATGCTGTGTTATATTCATTACTGAGTGCCATTTCAATTGTACTCGGCATGCAGTGTTTCCTTATTTATTTACTTGCACACAACTGGCTCAGTCACCTCACCATATTGCATCATTTGAGCTGCTTCTTGCATGTTATAAAATAACATTAACAAGATAATCAACTTTCTTGGTGAAATTGACTAAGTTGCTTAGAGAGATCTCTGGGCCTAGATATATAATGAATCGGTAGAACTGTAAATTTCATTGATATAGGGTTGGGAGGGGGGCAATTACTTGATCTTGTTTCATTGCTGAATACCAGCGGATTGAATAAGGCTTATGAATCAATGTTGTACTTTTAGTGTTCAGTGAACTGTGGCACTGGGGAAGAAACTCGGGATATAACCTGTATGCAGGGGGATGATATTGTTGCTGACTCGGAATGCAATGGTTTGGACAGACCTGAATCCACGCGAGAATGTACAGGTGCCGTTCCCAACTGCCCACCCCCAAGTAAGTACATCGTAGTGAGCAGAGTAAAATGGAGTGAGTGAAGAGTCATGGTGCTCCATATTGCTATTCATCAGAACAAATTCGTTTGATGTACATAAATATGCAGAAATATGAATTATTATACACATGCATTTTCTATGTCATTTTAAAGTGAAAATTGGCCAAAACACAAAAATAAGTTTGGGTCGTCTCCAAATGAATTAGCAGCTGAATTGCTTTGATAATTGGTATGTAGGTATCGGGTGGAATCCTTTTTAGATTTGTTTATTTATGACGATATATCCAATTCTCTAGTTTTGGTGAATATTTTTTGTATGCCGTTTGACTTCTTGAAAAATACCAGCTCAATTGCTTTGATACTTGATATTAAATTGAGCTGACAGTTTTCAAGAAGTCTTATAGGTTTGTGTTGCTTGCATTGGCTACCACAATGTTCTTGTAGGACAGCAGAGCTATTTGATTGTCAGGTCGCTTGTTTTGCTGTACCAATGACATTCCTAAATTACTATTTCTAATTGTGTTGTGTATTTATAAAGGCTCAGATAGTCATTCCCCCGTTTTGAACTTGTACTTAATTGTCAATTATTTTTTCAAAAATGAAAAAAAAAAAAAAACAGATTTGTCTGCAACAGTAAAGTTAATTTTCTCTTCACAGCTGATGTATGTGGTGATGTGTTGGATTCATCTGGCTTAGATGTCTATTCTAGAGGATATCCAGCTAACTACATTAACGGTGATAATTGTATAACGACCATTATCAACTCTGGTGGATGTGTTAAGATTACATTCAACTATCTGCATGTACAAGAAAGCCCAGAGTGTCAACATGATTATATTGAGGTGTGTCAAATGAACTGCTTCAAGTATTGCATGGCAAAATGTTAACTTCCCTGGCTGGTATACAAACAATGCATTTGTCACTTAGTGGGACACATTGTATAGCAGCTCTCGGAGTTGAAATTTTTCTCTAGTGGACTGTAGCAGCTCTTGGAGTTTAGATTCTTCTCCTAGTGGATTGTAGCAGATCTCGTTGTTTAGATTTTTCTATAGTGGCTATTTGTTCATAGTGACTCAAAATCTGCTCATTCCGATTTGCAATATGCAATAATTAAATACGGCTAATAATTAAATGCATAGAAGTGTGCCACCAAGAGTTTACAAGCTGTTTTATGTTAGAGATTTTGATGCCAATCAGACTTTGTTTATGTTGCTAACTCGTGACCTAAATATATCTTTCAATCGCCAATGATAACCACTAATTGATTGCCAATAATTTGTTGTCTTGCAGATTCAAGATTTGAACTTTGGCACCCTAACAAAGCGATACTGTGGAAATCTTGATAATAATCTTGTATGGCAGTCTGGATCAGGAATGGTTCGAGTAACATTTCACAGTGATAATACTGTGGATGGTAAAGGATTCACTGCGACTGCTGATTTCGTACCCTGCATTGATT